GGCGGCCGCCAGTATATCGGGCGTGGTCCACCACCAGCAGGATCGGCGGGCCATTACAATGTTCCCGGCCAGCGGGACGGCTACTATCAACAAGACACCTACAATAGTAACGGTACCCGTAATCCGCATCATCCTCATCCGCCTCCTCCGGCTCGTGGCGATCCAGGCTACTCGAGGGCTGCCCACGTCAACCAGTCGCAAACCGACTCTTATTTCTTCGCGAATTATCCGCCACCCTCGATGTTTCCCGCCGGATACATGTACGACCCGGTCATGTACTACTCGCAGTACCAGCAACAGTACCCTATGTATCCGACGGGTAACGTCATCATGACGTCCGACGGCGCCATCGACACGTCTGTGCCGCCACCGTCCTTACCACCGAACTTGCGACAGAATCAGAACATGATTCCTGTCGCGTCTGCTCGGCAGGAACCCAAGACACCGCCACCGTTGCCGAGCGGACCACCCCCTAGTTCCTCGCCACCGCCACCTCCTCCGCCACCGGAATAACGTTCGTATGGAAATCCTGTCTTGTAGTGGACTTCAAAGGTAGTTTTTCCAAAAGTAGCGACTAGCACAGCTGCAGCCACTTTCTCTGTTAACTTTAAAAATTATTTAACGCGTGAAATTTATCCGCAGATCTAAGTTTGGCGGCTCGAGGAACCGCCGGAGAGAGCAACGACGTGCATGGTGCGCAGCGGTGAGACGGAGCGGAATTGAATGCAGTAAATTTGGGAATTCAGAAACCTGGGAATTTTGTTGGAAAATTTTCTTGGTTCTCGAGTTGCCAGATTTTTAGCTTTTCAAATTCGTAAGTGCAGAGATTTGATAATTCTATTGCGAATTATCAAATTTCTAGGTTACTCACTGCACGTCCGTGCATCGTCGACGGTTTTCAAATATTAACTACATATAAATTTGCGTGCAATGTGTTTGAATACTGTGAATTTTTATAGGGTATTGTGGAAGTGGATGGTTGTTTTGTGTTCGAAGAGAGGAAGTGGCTGAAGATTCCCGTAGAAACCGATTTGCGATCTTAAAGGAATATACTTTTCACCCTGTCTGTATCCTTCTCTTCTTCTTCCCTTCCAGTTTGTGAATGGTAGAAGTAGCAGCATGACACCGTACGATCTCTATTATTCCTAGTGTTACATTTACCACTTCGGTCTTTTCACCTTTGTACCTGTAGCGCATCTCTCCTTAGAGTAGTTAATGAGTGTGAGCCTTCGGTTCGAGAACAAATTGCAAGGTCCGTCGCGACCATGTTTGAGGATGAAGTAACTGCATCACGAAGACGACCGTCGCGAGACGTGCGATTTGTAGGAAGGACGGTGTTTAGTTTCGTTTAATCGAAGATTGAACGCACTGCCAGGATGAAAAGGATTACGTTTTGCGCTTACGGTCAAACGTTGATAGATTTCGATTAACGGAACGCTCAATCTTTCGACATACGTTAATCGAGGTACAAATTGAAAGATATTCCTTTGCTGGCAAAGGGTTTCGACGAAAAGGTGGTGTGCAGAATGTTGCGTTTACAACGGAATCGATTCCGCGATTTCGAAACGGGTAAATGGCTATAGAAACTTACGAGGTTACTTAAACTAAAACGAAAAAACAGACAAAAAAATGACAAAACATAAAAGAAAAAATGTATCCGTATACGATGAAGCGGCGAGAATGCTCAGAGCATAAATGTAATTATTAATGTGAATTTCAAAAAGTGTACGTATTTGTAAAGGTATATACAGACACACGATCTTGTTGAGACACATTGTATCATTTTGTCATTGCGCGGATATGACGAGATTTTCGATTAATCTTTTGCGATTCATTTTCAAATTACTTTGCATTTAGAATTTCTTATTCTAGCATCGAAATCATATCTTTGTGCTTGAATGTAAATTGTTACATTGTCACGTAAGAAAACTTTCAGAAATTTGTAATACATAAAATTGTAATTACATTAACATGTAATGCAATTTATATTGAGTTTTAATGCGCGACGATGTAACAAAAGGGAAACGCAAAGGGTTATCGCAATAATCTTAAATCAAAAGTTGCATTATAGTGATTAAACGTTTTCGCAATAACGAGTTTCCTAAGTATCGTGAAATATTAATAGTATAACTTACTATGAAATCTCGTTGTTAGAACACTGACTCATTCATTCATTTACAGTCATTCATAGTTGGTTTTCTTTTTCTCGCGTTGCTGACTACGCTTTGTACTACCACGCGTTGTATCGATTGCGCTTTGAATTACCACGCGTTGTACTGACTACGCTTTGTATTACCACGCGTTGTATCGATTGCGCTTTGAATTACCACGCGTTGTACTGACTACGCTTTGTATTACCACGCGTTGTATCGATTGCGCTTTGAATTACCACGCGTTGTACTGACTACGCTTTGTATTACCACGCGTTGTACTTACTACGCTTTGTACTACCACGCGTTGTACTTACTACGCTTTGTAGTACCACGCGTTGTACTTACTACGCTTTGTACTACCACGCGTTGCACTTACTACGCTTTGTACTACCACGCGTTGCACTGACTGCGCTTTGTATTATCACGCGTTGTACTACCACGCGTTGTACTACCATGCGTTGTACTGTCAAGCGTTGTACTACCACGCGTTGTACTGTCAAGCGTTGTACTACCACGCGTTGTACTATCAAGCGTTGTACTACCATGCGTTGTACTATCAAGCGTTGCATTACCACGCGTTATACTATTAAGCGTTGTACTGTCAAGCGTTGTATTACCACGCGTTGTACTACCAAGCGTTGTACTACCAAGCGTTGTACTACCATCCGTTGTATTACCACGCGTTGTACTACCAAGCGTTGTATTACCACGCGCTGTACTACCATCCGTTGTATTACCACGCGTTGTACTACCAAGCGTTGTGGAAAAATGTTTAGTAGAATCAACTGGTATACCTGTTTTTTCATTTTTACAATTTCGAGTACCTGTATGTGAACGTGTGAACAATTCTTTATTTCTCAAACTTTAAGATTACGACTGATCGAGTGTTACCCGATAAAGAACAGAATAATTTTGATTTCTGGACGATTCGATGACATCGATCTTTTCGGTGCAATTAAGTCAGAATTTTTCTTACATTGTACGAATGCTTCGAGTTTACATTATCGAGCCTCTTTAAGTGTACGTAGTTCGTTTTTTTTATATTTATTTCAATTACGACGCGTATAGTTTCTCCTGTAATTTTTATCGCTTTATTCACGTCATTGACAATATAATACATATATATATGTATGTACAACAAAGTAAAAATAATCATTGCATATAGAATGGATATTATCTCAGGAACGTGTTGAAAAAAAAAGTAAGCGAGAGAAATAGCGTGATTAATATATTAAAAAAATATATATATGAACTATTAAGATTGCGTTTATATTTTACACATAGACACGCCGTTCTGTAAAAAAAAGCGTGTGTTAAATGTGATTTGCCATTGTGACGGACAAGAATTATATTCGATCGTGCCGCTATTAGCGCATCGATGTCATTGTTTGTTATTGTTATAGTTATATTGTCACAATTAGTACTATAGTATTTTCAA